AGCTAGGTCTGTTACCTTCTTCAATTTTAAAAATCAATTATTTTTTCTAAAAATCTTTTATCATCATTGTCAAAGAATTATTCATAAGATAGCAAATAAGACTTTGTTTTAGATCCTCCCTACCTTTATCTTCACTATACTATGCTTTACATCTTTCAACTCAAATGTAGAGTCTGCTTCAGGAAAATATTCTTAGACTACCCTTTTTTCTTTTTCTGAGATTGCATAATAAACTATACATCTCTGTAATTGTATTTATATCATTTTGATATCATATATTTGTTTTCAGTACTAGTATTTTGAATTTTGTATTTCTAGTTCTCTACTGACTGAATAAAATGCCACAAATGCCTATTGTTTTTTTTAATTAGTAGTACCATACATGTTTGCAGTACATAGTGAATACATTCATCATGGAGACATATATGTACCTATATCATACTTAATCCTTTTTACTTCCCCTTCCCCTCTCTGTCCATTCCTAGGTCACTCTTCATGCTGGTCATAATTTAATTTAGCTCTTTTCAACATTTCATCATCACTTTTTTACATTCTACATGATTGATTTGGGGTTCCATTATTTTAATTATTACCTCAGGGCAGATAATTCACAAGTAAATATTTTTATCCCTTGTTTATTTTCAAAGTTCTAAGTCTCATGGTTAGAAGAAGGCAACTATAAATTGTGAATATCAAAAATCCTCTTTGTTTTCTTAGTCTGTGGCTTGAATCTGTGATGTCTATATGAGTGCCCCTTACTTTTCAGTCTCTCATTAAGTCTGCATATTTCTTAAGCTTCTCAACATAGTTCCATTCTGAGTATCTGTTACTGCTTAGTTTGTGTTCTGTCCTCTTCATACTGCTTCTGGTGATCATGTCATCCTTCTGCTTAAAAACTAAATAGCATTTCCAAAACATCATCTTGAAATTCTAAAATGTTTCCTCCTCACCCCATTGTGGTGAATTGAGTCACAGTTACTGATGGTTAGAGTATAGGATATCCTTTTTATAAGGCAGCATTTCTTGTTTGCTTATTCTTATTTTTAAAAACAGTAATGTTTGTATTATACACATTTATTGAATGGAGTTTATGTTTGTATATTGATAAAAATTAGGATACTATTTTGACACATAAGAGTTAAAAAGTTAAGAAAAGGAGAATAAAATTTAATCAATATCTTCAGGAAAATTAATGATTATGCTTATAACTAGCTCTACTACTGTTTTAAGTCATTTGAATCATTAGATTAGTCTGATATCATTTTGTAAACTTTCTAATACAATAGAATTAGATTTCTTTTTTTTTTTTATGCTATTGCTCTCAAATTTCTTCTAAACTTTCTCATTTTAACCAATGCCCCAGGAAAAAAACAAAGTTCCCTCTCATGCAATATGTAAATGTTTACATATTCATTTATCTTCTCTTATGTGTGAGATATGTTCTGGCATTTTGAGACCCTTCCATGAGGTTAAAACTAAAGGGAAGAAGCACATAAGAATTTTATCACGGAAGGGAATTTTAATGGTACAGTATACCCCTTCTTCCCTCCATTTGAAAGAATAAGACACCAAAGCCCAGAATGATTTAAGTTACTTGTCCAGAACCTCAAATTTATGGCAGAGCCAGAACAAGAACCTAGAATCAAGAGTTGTTCTCATCAGACCTTCATGCCAATAGAAGGGAAACAAATAAATAAGCAGAAATACTGTGTATAGTATGTTATGGTAATAAATAGTATGGGGAATAATAGTGGAAGGTTTTAATATATAGTAGCCAGGGATGGCCTTGCTGCCATTTAGGCAAAGACTTCATTTGCAAAATGTGTTTACAGACAAAACTAACTCATTTATGCATTGCTCCTGTTAAAGTGCTGATTCATTTTATGTGATCAGCCAGCTCTACACTTTTTCCTAATTGAAACTAACCCTTAGTGGACCTTTTGTGTCTTACCATCACTTGTGCCATTTGTTTCTTCTATTCATATTGTTGATGATGTATTTTCCCTCACAGAAAATACTTTATTTCCTGAATACAAATATAAACTGGTGGTTAAAAACTGGCCAGGTATTAAAGTGCAAGTTTTAAGGCACCTTTAAAGAGATAAATAAATGCAAGTAATGTTATATGTGTCACAAAATCTGCTAGAACCACTTTTTATGACACACCTATCTTTATTACTTTCGGTACCTTTTAAAAAATATCTTTCTGGATTGTTAATAAACTTGATTTTTCAAGTACATTTAAATGATCACACTTTTCCCACAGAGACCTCTTGGCAATAAACTGAAGAGAATCTAAATAAATGCTTATTAATTATATTAGAACCACTTTTTAAAACTTCACAGGAGATAGTCATCAGTTCATATAGTCCTGATTGTGTGTCCGTTATATATTTATCACAGATTTTTAAAAAACTGGCTGATGAGCTTATTTACTCCATTTAACCAAATTAGAAAAAAAATGACCCTTCTAGGGAAATAGTGACTTCGTATTGATTAGAAAGGGAAGAAACTGGCTCCTTGAGTAGATTTCACCCAGCCTCCCCAAATCACATAACTTTGTGCATGACACGGCCCTCACATTCTTAGAGGTCCTGGTAGGTGGTGATTTTATCTGCATAAGGACTGTGTTAAATTCCAAAAAGCCTTTTAGGAATAAATTGAGTGCATATCCATAAATACAACCTGTCCCATAGGACATATATGAAGTGTTTTTGTTGTATCTACCATGTAATAATGCTGTTAGTGATAGTTTCTTTTACAGGACTGCACTTAAACTAAAAGTTAGTATGTTACACATCAATAACCATAATACACAAGGCATGATCAAAATATATATGAATGCTTAAATTTAAAAATGTATTACATTGAGCACACATTGCCAATAATTCCCTTCAAAATACTACCTCTTGCTTCAAATACACTTATCCCATCATTCTTGCCATTTTCTGAAGCCCTTCTGGAAGTCCTGTTTTGTGTCTTTATGAGGTGTGATTAAAATGCTGTTGCTGAGTGTTATCCAACAGAAAGGCAGGTTTATAAAAATGTTACGGTGTGCTCTTATCCACCTTATTCACTGGATCTGGCAGCATGAGATTTCTCACTGTTTTCTGAAGTCATAATGTCTATGGAAGGTAAACATTTTTTTATTTAGGACATCAAGGGAGCCATGCTTGCACAACTGAGGACACAAATACAAATTTATATGTATTGCAGTTATTCCAGTTAGTTAAACAGCTTCTTGGATAAGGTAACATGATAGGCCTTAAATGATGGGAAGAATTTTTACATGATTTTTCTTGTGTACATTCATTGTGTGTGAAAATGAGTTAAGACACCAAAGCTGAAAAGCATGGAATCCAAGTAGAGAACAGAAAAAAAGTCAAGCTAACTTGGTAAAATATACATAAGTAAGAATAGTCAAAACACATTTGAAAAAATGTATATTTTTATAGATAACTTTCTGGGATGTCAGGCCCTATTTTAGGTTTGATCGGGGTTATGAGAGAGACAAAGTACCTTTTCTGTGGAGCTAATAGGTAGAAAATAAATATAAAAGAGATAATTGTGAGTATTGGTGTTATTTGATAAATAATAGAAATTACTTTTGAAAGGCATCCAGAAGAGCCATTTCTGAAGAAGTAACATCTACTTTAGGACTTGTGTGATGAAAAATAAATCAGCATTCGCTCAACTGGGGTAGCAGTAAGAACAAGACCAAGGGCTCCGAGATACCTGTTCAAAGATACAGGTGCTTTCTGTGTCTGAAATTTAGTGACCTTAGGAAAAACCGTGGAGAACAGTGAGTACCTTAGAGAGAGGTTTTTGTGAGGATAATAATGAAAGCACGTACATTATCTGGCACAAATTATTGATAAAAGTTACTCTATTATTTACTGTGTTTCTAAAAAAAAAAAATTCCCCTCTGGACCTCTTTATTATACTCTTAAGAATTATTGAAAATCCCAGGTGAACTTTTCTTTCTATAGATTGTATTGCAGATTAAAACTGGATTTAAAATATTTATTAATTTGTTTAATCTCATTATATAAGTAATATTTCTTAAATGACTAATACATTTCCTCTTGAAAGCTTGAGTTTCTCGTTGGTAAGAAGTTACTTGCATGCTGTATATTGATGTTAGTTGCTTTTCTTAAAGTGACAGTCTCATTTACTTTCAAGAAAATGTCAGAAATGAAAGTTAGACTCACCATAATTTCTCATTTAAATAAAAATAATATTCTGTTGAAAGTAGCTATTTCAGCTTGCAGCCCCATTGCATAAGTGCTTTTCCTCAAGACAACTATCTTACTTGCTTTAATGCATGCTTCCCATCTTCCACAGGATATTTAAAAGATACATATTCAAGGGTCAAATTTGATAGCTTGTAATTTTCACTGCTTTGTTGAGGATATTCATTAATAGAAAGTTTAAAAACTGAGTGCATAGTGGTCAGTACAATAACTTAATAGCAGCAATTGTTCGGTTTTGTCATGACCTTGATTTGTACTAAGGCGGATGCAGTTTTACCACTATTGCTTTTATATCCTTAAGTTTACATGTCAATGAAGTGAAAAAAAAGGGAAAGTGATATCTAAGTATCATTTTGAATATAGTTTTAAACTTCTAAATTCCATGAAGGGATATTGCCATCCCCCCAAAAAATCTAGCAGATCACTCTTTGGGGACAACTGCTGTAGATGATATGATTGTTACTTACTTGTAATATTTTGATTGCTTTAATTTTAGTATTTTTTCCTTAATTGGGTTGCCATAAAGAAAATAGTCAAATACACACTATTGATGTATATGTAAGCAAGGATTGTTTTAATTTAGTTAGTCGCTTTGACCTGTTTGATAGCTTTGAAATCGAGAAAGTTAATAGATTAATTTACAGAGAATATTTATATTTTTAAAAATCTGTAAAGTGGAATTTTCTTCTTTTGATTTGGAGTAATGGTTCAAATTTTTTCCAGTCATGCTTTCTATTTTGTTTTTAGGCTTGCATTGATGACAATGTTGATATGGTGAAGTTTCTGGTAGAAAATGGAGCAAATATTAATCAACCTGATAATGAAGGCTGGATACCACTACATGCAGCTGCTTCCTGTGGATATCTCGATATTGCAGAGTAAGCCAGTTCTGTGTTTTAGCTTTATCCTAACAAAGATCTACCATTTTATAGAAATTATTGTTACTGACTTTATGAGTGAATCCATGTATTACCTTAATTTATGAAAGTTATTCTTCCTGAGAAAGAGAGTAAGTAGTTCTAGGAGTCCAAATATTGAATTTTGCAGCCAGATCTTATCTTCCCAGTATCTCTGGCTTTTGGTGTTTTATATTAACATCAATAAGTGTACATATTCTCCATTACCATTTTTTCTTTTGCATACAGATACAGTATTGTCAAAAGATTCATTTAATATTTGGCAGACTAGACTATCCCTCTATAATTGTGCATTGTTAGGAGAAATCAGTAGTAATTTTTAGTTGGATTACTCTGCTGTAGGAGAATGTGATACATACTACAGTTAATCTGTTTTTCTTAAGATTGTATTCTAAAAGTTTGTCTTTTAGAGCATTTAGCAATAAATAGTCATTGTATTCTCAACTACCATTAATGTGTGTTCACTTTCCAAGAAAATCTCATTCTTCAAAATTTCGTCTGGAAATATAGCTATCTTGAAATTTTTTCATCAGCTTTTTTTGTTAGTATATATACAAACCATTAGCATTTTTGTTCCTATCAGTGCTTATCATTAGTAAATATTGAATACTGCTTATCCGTAGGAATTCATTCTGAGATCCTCAGTGAATACCTGAAATAGTAGATAACACCATATGCTATAAATATGTACATATACACTGATTTTTCCTACATACATTTATGATAGTTCATTTTATAAATTACTTATCCTGAGAAATTTTTATTTGGCAAAGTGCTATATGTGTTCATAAGAGACACTTTCATAAGCTTATTGAACATGAGTGAATCCTTTTAGTATATTCTCAAGCAGCAAATGATGTTTATTAAATTTCTCTGTCTAAAATTAAGAGATTAATTTATACTTTCCAAGAATGTGGGAAAGCCAACAGTGGGAATGAGACAGGGTCTACTATACATGGTATGATAGTGAGCCACCATGACATTGAGATACCCCAAAACTTTTAGTAGTACTCTATTAAGATAAACAATTGGTAGGGGTGGAAATCAGTGAAAAGGCCAAGTTTCATGACAAGGCTAATGTGAGGCTTTTTGGAAACATGTGCATACAGAAGCCCTATGGGCAGGGAGGCCTTGGCTGAGGCATGTAATTATATTCCAGTAAATGGCTGATCAGTTCACTGGTTTGGGCATTACAGTGGAAATGCTTATAGTGGTCCATTGGCCCCAAGTGTTGGGCTTGGTTCTTAGCTCACCTCAGGTATAGGTAAATCATCTGTTCAGTGACAACTTCCACTGTTAGCCTGGATTCAGGTTGCATTTAAAGAATATGTGAGGTGTTCATGATATTTGGCACAGAATACCCAATTTTGAATAATAAGAGGAAGGGCATTCAGTTGATGAACTGCTCAGTGATGTAACAAGGGTCTGAGATCTTTCCTTTTTTTTTTTTTTTTTTTTAATTTCCCAGATATGGACTTTATTCTTAGCCTTGTCTCTTCTTGGCTGCAAGATGATTGACGCAGCTCCAAAATTGTGTTTTTGCACTTTCCCATGCAAGGGCAAAATTTAAAATAGGTCAAGGGTAGAAAATATCTTTTCCATATTCTGTGTGTATCAAGGAGGAAAACCTTTCCCAGAGAGCCCTCTGATGGTGCACACTTTCGCTTAAGAACTTCTCTAGGCTTCATTATTTCCAACTAGGAAAAGGAGCTAACTGACGTATTTACCTTTTTACATGCCAATAAATTTATAAGAAAGAATAAGCACTTACTATTATCAGTAATGTAACTGTTTTAATTGTTTGAAGGCAAGGTAGTGGGATATGCTTCACAGGACTTGTACAAATAAAGGTGACCTGTTTTGGCTAAAGTTGATTAGAGCTTTGTCAGGCTGTTTGAATTTATGGCTGTGGAATATATGAATTGTTTTAAGTCCACAGTTTCTTTGAATCATAGTAAAATTAGAAGTACAATAAGTTTTCCTTTTTGATATTTCTGCCGTCTGAGGTCTTTTTTTTACAATAATGACAATATTTTTGTAAAAGACAATTTAGTATATACTGGATTGTATATTAATGTGATGATAATCCCACCAAATACTCAGAGCTATTTTATCAGCATCACTAATCTCTTTCAGCATTTAATTTCCCTATGAGTGAAAATAATTAATAAAGCCATGTTTTTATTGGGTAAAAAAATGTATCATAGTGGCTTGATAGGCCAAAGATATTCCCAGATCTGAGAATTTTATAGGGATAATGATTATAAACAGAGACAGTGGTAATAAACTAGATGAAATCTAAAGAAAATAGGGCATGTGATCACTCTGCTAAGTGAAGTATTTTGGAATTGGTTGAAAATCCTGATCCTACCATTCGTTAGCTTTTGTGCTGCTTCCCAAGGTATGTAGTACATATGATTGAAAAGTCTTAATTTATTTCTCACACTGCATTGCATTTCACTGTTTTCATTCTGTCAGTACTGGAATACTTTTAGTTCTGTTGTAATATTTCCTACTGGCTTGTATCAGTATGTCTTTCCCACAGTGGTTTACTTGCCCCTTGCATTACTTCTGTAGCTCCTAATAAACTGTCAAGGTAGCTTGTTTTCATGTTACTTCTAGGAAAGTTTTTCTGATTCCTCATCATCTGTGTCAGTTTACATTCTTCATTTCCAGCTTCTTTAAGAAACAAAGTTTGAGTTTTTTTAAAATTGTATACACAATTTTATTATGTTTCCCTGATCGTAGATGCAGTTTCAGAGCCTTTTCCAGAAATCTGTACACTCTGTCCCTTGGGAGACACTGTTGCTTAATTATCTAGGATTTCATGAACTAAAGTACTCCACTTCTTGTAGGATGAATGTCCACTTGTAATTATTACCTACCTATACATAGCAGGTCCTCATTAAAATTAATCCAACACAAAGTGCATTCCTTATTTTAATTATTATTACATATGCTAAAAGACTGTCCTCCACAGCCAGGGATAATGTGTCACCATAAGAAAGACTACTGTTTAACCGAGCAGTGCCCAACTCAGAGCTGGATTGGTTAGCTTCTACCTACCTTGCATACCTAGGAAGCAAGTAGAGTGAAAGGGTAAGAAACGGGGGAAGGGCTGAGTTGGAGTGGAAGACAAAAGATACAAAATTGCCACATGGGAAATGGCAGGAAATGTAGTGTTTATACGTAATGGAGGACTACTAAATTTAAATTATTTGTAGGAAAATAGATGTACCCTGAGACTATAATACTAAGTGAAACAACTCAGACACATAAGCTTAAATATCACATGGTTTTTCTTAATGTGAGAAACCCAAAGTATAAATAGCGAAATAAAACATAAATAATTGGGACAGAGAAATAAGTCTTTTGCAAACAGGAAGGGGACCAAAAGATGGAGGGGAAAGGGAATAAAAAGAATTATGTGCACAAATGTACTAATAAAAAAATTTAGTAAAGAAGATATTTGCAAGCTGGGTCACATGCAGAGCAATGAGAAAAGTGAAAATTTTCTCTGGAGAGAAAAGAATTGTTTTGTGGTGTCATTCATTTATGGTACGTAGGAGATGACAAACTCATTGGCATCTCTAAGCTAAGAATATTTTTACAGCAGTTCTTTTTTCTTTCCTGGTGATGACTCTTCCTTGGAGTGTACCTGTTAGGGGCAAGACATCCCCTCCACTGTTTTCTCTTCCTGCCAGGGCAGTAAGCTGGACTGACTGCTTAGATCAGGGAGACACAATCAAAGTAGTGTTTTTAGAAAACCTCTTCCTTCACAAGTTTGGGAACCTGTGTCAAGCACATCTTGCTGTGCAGCTCCTCTTCTTGCAGTGTGACCAGGGCAACGGGGTATATCTAATCAAAGTCAGAGTGAAACTGCATACCAGGGGGTTGCAAAGGAAATTCTTCTTGTCAGCTGATAAGGTCAAGATTTGTTGTTGAATTGTTTCTTCATTATGGTCAATCCGTGGGGGCACAGCTGCTTCAGACTTCTTTCTATGTTATCCGTCAATTTTTTTCTGCTGCTCTGAAGTTCTCCTGTAATTGCCTATCAGTGATGTCATCTATTTTTCCATCTACAGATTTCTATATCATTTGTGCTGTTTCAGCAACTGATTCAGTTATCTTTTTTGTGGCAGCACTTGCAAAGTTAAGCAGATAGTTGCTGAGGCCTGATTGAGGAGCTCCTCGTCTTTGGCGGGCTCTGAGCACCGCTCTGGTGGAGTGTCCCTCACCAAAGGTGATGGTCAACTGTTTGAGGCCAAACCAGCTACTTAACTCTCGAACATCCTGACCACAAGGCCGCACAACAGTTCTGCTCCCAGAGACCCTGGCAAATGCTGCTTGTTGGGCACCCAACTCTGCACATTTCCAAGGGAGACACCTGGAAGCCTGGGCAACTACAGAGCTGCCTGGCTGATGTTGGCCTGTCCCATTGTGCTATTTGATTATTCCAGATTTTTTTACTTTGAGGATTTGGGGATGATTAGGATATTTTGAATTCTAAATTTTTTGCCTCTGTTGGAGGTAGTGAAACAAAGAATTGAAGGTCACTCTCTTCTCCCTAGACATTAGACAAGTGTCTGTTTGTAACCTAGCAGAAGAAAAGTAAATAGGTAAATGGACTTTAAATTCTGGCTGATTTATTCCTTAACTCTCACCAAAATAATTACCATCAAGCCCTTCCTGCTTCTACAAAAGTTAGATGTGTATTGAAATCTAAAAAATTGTTTGTCTTTTCTTTTTTTTTTTTGGTACTGGAGATTGAACTTGGGACGTTGGACTTGCGAGGCAGGTGGAAGCACCACTGAGTTAAATCCCTGGCTGTTTTGTTTGTTAGTTTGTTTGTTTTGTACCTGGGATCGAACTCGGGTCCTTGTGCTTACAAGGCAGGTGGCAGAACCACTGAGCTAAATCCCTGGCCATTTGATTTTTAAAATAACATCCCTTAGTCCGGG